AAGCCGAGGAATGAGAAAAGAAAGGGAAGCCTTGCTCCCATTTTCTTTATTTGAGAAACAGGCTACTTTCTGTAAAAAAATAACAGAAATATTTACTTTGAAAAATGCTTACGCACCGAGCCCCCACCATTCAACGCGACCGCCGCCTCGGCCACGATGCCTCTCGAGGAGCGGCGAGATAGCTTCTCGAGTTCCAGAGGAATAACTTACTAGTGTGCATACCATCAGCTGCATGTTTGCACTACCTCACCAAAATGTGGCGGTGGAAGCGAGAGATACAGTTAATCTTATTGTTTAGTTTGGTTCTCTGTACGCTTCCCAATTAGTCAACGGAAGTCTTTTGGGTTAACCTCCCTGCCTTCTCCCTTCCTGTTTGCTTCCTACGCTTCCTAACGTATGTGGCTCGTTGTTTCTCCGTCTCCTCGGCTCGTTGCCTCCTCTTGGTTTTATTCCGACGACGAAGCTTAACTTCTTTCAGTCTCTCTGATTTACTTTTCAATATCTGCAGATGAATCCCACCGAGCCGCCCTTTTATATGTATACGACACGACGCTGGCTTCTCCTGTGTTCTTGCAACGCGTTTGTACTGGATCCTCTTCTGACGTCATGCCAGGATGACATGGCGAGCAGCGCTGCTAGCTGCAGCGGTTGCTAGGCAACGGTTCAGTTCGCCGTGCGGCCACGGGTGATAGCGAAACTATGGTGGCCAGAAGATAGCGAAATTACGTGAATCTGCCTAATGTACTTCTCGCTACAAGAACTGACCGGGAAACATGCTTTTGCGTGGTTACAGCTACCGAGCAGAACATTTCCGGACTCCGTGGTCTTGAATCTATGTGACCCGCAGCTTTATTCGTCAACTTGTAAGCTTCGCGTTGCCAGGACAATCCTGGAACACATGTTGATGCAGTTTGATGGTGATCGTGTTTCAGACGGCGACGCAGTCTCGGACAGAACGCGCTGGGAGACTGCACTGCTCAGCTTCGTCCTCTAGGTCCAACTCTTGCCCGTTCAGTGGACCGAGAAAGCCGCAAGATTTAACGCCTCGCGGTCAACTACTATGCGATGATATTCGCCCAAATTATAGGATAAATCACCGGACCTTAAAAAAAGTAAAGTTCATGTTTTGTTCTGTTTAACCGAGCATATATGATTCATGAGTTAACTTTATTTCGAAGGACACATATTTAGGTTGAGCTGTCAATAAAAAAGTGCGGCCGGGTCGCCTCGGAGCACACTTAACCAGCGTGCGAGGTCGTTTTATAAAAACGACGGCGTCATGTTAACTCTGATGTACTTGCAGGAAGGTGCTGTGTCGTTAGGTGCAGAATTGATGTGCTACATTAACATTCAGTGACTGCATATTTTAGGCGAATGGAGACTCTGGAAAAGAGGACCAGTTGGTGCGTAGCAATTTATTGCAACGCTCTATCCAAAACACAAGCAAATGCTCAAAGAAAAAGCTGTCCCTGAACATTTCTCGTTGTGTGTCTTAGCATCACGGTGCAAGCAGGCAATAGCTGAAAATTCAGTGCCTGCAGTTCAACTAAATGGTGAAAAAAATGTAGGGATGTTGAGGGCATTTCTTCTGCCACGCAGTGCAAAATAATGTTTCCTCCGATGAGACGTATAGTGTATGAATAAACTTAATTTGAAGATGATAATTTGTTTACTTATTTGTTGTTGTCCAGCTATACAAAACAAATAGCATGCCCATGGGAACCACGTATCGGTCTTGTCTGAATGCACTACAGGTCTTGCAGTATTTATCATACAGTCTTTAAATAATGAATCATGGAATCATCGAAGAGTATTAATCGCATAACGAATGACCTGAATTTTTGCTTCAATATCGAAGAAGATAAGAGCAGTCTACAGACACTCACCGTAACTATGGATATTTACCACAGAGGTTCACGCACGATTACGCGTGACAGAGTATTTCATTCACGAAAAGAAAACGCTAGCTCGTGACACAATACACAAACAATTTTTGAAAATAGCCTGGTATTAGTAAATCATGTATTGTTATGTGCAACGCGCTGACTGAACGGCATATTTCCTCATTTGCTGTCATTGCCAGTAATTTACTTATTGTCACGCATATATCTGTGATGATATACAAAAAAAAAAAGAAATCGAAACGTGCAATACAAAGCTGATAACAGGGCAATTTCAATGAGCTGCATTTCTACAATGATTAACAATTAATTGTACAAGGTACCCCAGCTATCTTTAGCCAGAGTTTAAAAGTATGCCAAGACACGCAATCACGATGCGACCAAATGCATGTAGCTGACCATTGCCTGGAGTTAGTGAGACTATCTTTTGCGTTTTAAAATAATGTTTAATTAGATCTGTTAAATTAACTAACCTCTGAAGGAAAAAAGATGGATAAAAATTTTCAATGAGAAAATTGTAAATCGCTTTGCAAAATGTACGCTTAGACAGTTTTTGAACTTTATATTTGTTATGTATTAGTGTTTTTGTGCTAACTACAAACGTCCGCGAAATAGAAAAAAATTCCACGAAACAAACCCACTGGCACGCCTACGCGCGCCGCCATTCTGGTGCTCTCCAACGTTCCGCGTACGAACGATGCGCTTCCCTCGCACCGGTTCATGACTGAGATAAGCACTCAAGAACCGGTTGCCGCTTTTGTGACCGATAGCAAAACATGTTCATCGCAAAGCCACCACCTTCGTTGCGGCCCTGTCAAGACAGCACAATCGGGCAAATGCTATGGTCGTTCGTATGTGGAACGTTAGGGAGCACTAGAATCATCTTGCGCACTGACGCGCGAGCGGATTCGTCCCGTGGAAATTTTGTAGCGTTAGCTACACTGGCCTCGCTGAGCCAATTTCGCGTGGTACTGGTCTGCGCATGCGCAATGATACTCCGCCGCCGCCGCGCGCGGCTCGCCGCTGGTGTGCGCGCAATTCGATGCGCTGCGCAGACGATCAGTGGTGTCACGCACCGGAGCCGGCACCTCCCTCGCACTCGGCCGCGGCCGCGCGCGACTCGCCGCCGCCGGTGTGCGCTTTCCAGAGGAGTGCCGTCATAGCCTTGGTAGACATACGAACGCCGACGCGCGCGCCTTCCCTGTGCAGTCGCCATCTGACACTGCGCTGGAGCCGCTGGATAGCGCCTCTGACTGGCGTTTGCCACTGTGGTATAGCCATGGAGAAGGAGAGTGCAAATGCTGCTTAACGGTACAGTAGAGCGGAGAAGCTTAACTCATCGGATCCCGAAGTAGTTGCCCGGCAAAATAAATATACATGTGCCACATAATACGTATACCATGTGTGTGTCATTGAAACAGCTGTAAGCATGATAATCACGCTAATTCTAGACAATCAGGAAAGCTTTCCAGAGGGGGGACGTCGTGGCCTTGACAGACATATTGGCGCCAGCGCGGGCGCTGCTATGCTATCACAGAAAGACAGACAATTCCAAATACCGTGTTGGGGCCATAGAGACGGCAGCGTGTTACTTCACTGACCACCGAGCCGTCTTTGTGGCAATAGAGAAGCTACCTGGACGTTGAGCAGAAAATATACATGTGCCACATAATACGTATGCCGTGTGTGTGTCATTGCAGCAGCAGTAAGCATGATAATCAGGCTAATCCTAGACACTCTGGAAAGCTAAGAATCATTCTTAGCTTTCAATCAATCAGCTGAACCTTTGCTAACACTACGTATATCCTGGCATAGCTGAGCTAAGCCACTGCCATTTTTTCGTATTTTGCGGGACTTTGTAGTTTGCAGATTAATTCATATGTAGGGCTTAACATCCCAAAACCACCATATGTTTATAAGAGACGGTGTAGTGAAGGGCTCCGGAAATTTCGACCACCTGGGGTTCTTTAACATTCACCCGAATCTGAGCACACGGGCCTACACCATTTCCGCCTCCATCGGAAATGCAGCTGCCGCAGCCGGGAATCAATTCCGCGACCTGCGGGTCAGCAGCCGAGTACCTTATAGCCACTAGACCAGCGCGGCGGGGCTTGTAGTTTGCAGAAAAACACTAACAACTAACCGATATAAAGTACGAAACTGTCTCATCGGACTTTCGCAAACCGATCTACAACTTTGATTGAATTTTTTAGCCATCTTCGTTCCTTCAAAAATTCGTGAATTAAACACATCTAATTAAACAATATTTTAGAACACAAGAAATTGTCTAACTCCAGGAAATGGTCAGCAACAGACAATTCCGTGTCTCGGTATATTTTTAAACTCTGGATAAAAATAGCTGGGGCACCCTGTATATACATTTCATGGTATTAACTTGAAAACCACGACGCGACTGTGAAGCACGCTTAGTAGTATGGTTGCGTAGGTAGCTGTCTTGCAGCCTGGGGCTCGTTCAGTGGCCTAGGCAGAATTTTTTTTTTGGAGGGGGGGGGGGGGGAAGAGTCTTTATTATTTCTGGGGCTGGGGTTGGGGGGGGACATTTTTTTCAAATGGTCATTTTTCTCTCTGTATGCCATGACGACAAAAAGAAAGGTTAGAGGAGGCACCGGCCTGTGTGTGTCGTGGCCCCACCTGGCTATACACTATTAGGATCGTTAACGTGCACATATATCTAAGTACAGGAATGCGTTTGACTGTTGTATCCATAGAAAAGCAGCCGCGGTGGCCAGCATGGAACCTTCAACCTCGATTTCAGAAAGCCACTAAATTATAAGCAACCATGGTGAGAAGATGTCTAAAAGAGAACAAATAATATCTCTCCCACCACGATTATCTATCAAGAGCAAATACTGTGTCAGGAGAAATGGCAGTGCGTAAGCATCTGCCAAAAATCTGACGACTGTTTGAAAATAAATATTTCCGTACACTGATGGGGCAATAAAAATGCTTGAATGGTAAATGCATAGATATAGCAATGCTATTTGATATGTCCAAGTAGTCTAATGTATCATTTGAAAGAAGTGTACAAAAACATGCTACCTTGTACATGTGAGCGAGGCTACCCAAGGTCACCGCATATGCGTCCACAATTCACTCTTACAAAGACGTGTTACAGTTCGTCACTTATATCGTTGATGAGGTTACAAACCTGCTCTTCTTCTCACTGTCTACGCAGGATACCAGGTACATCTGTTCTCAGAACGTGACACTTGGATGCTGATGTCACAGTTGATTTCAGTGCACTGTTTTTGACGATGCGTACTGCAAGCACGGTCTATATCACGACACGTAAAACTTATTCAAGACTTCGGGACTTCTTCACAAAGATGCAAAAACACGCTGTGTCATCGACGAGTCAGCAAGGGGAGTACAACATTGCTGACATGTCAGAAGATTCTAGAGAAACACCTCACGCAATTTCCTCTATCCCTGAGTCATGCGATATTGTTTGTCCCTGCGTATGACGTGGTCACCATGCTCCGGGAAAGGCAAAACGAACTAGGATCGCGCACACGAGGCCAGCTGCCGCAGGCGGAAAAGAATTGCAGCCCGTCTTAGATTGACTGTATGGGCAGACTACACCGAGAACGCTGGCGCACATGAGCACGCCACAGCAAAACGTGTCGACAATGCCTGCGTAGAACATCGAGATACTCCACTTGGTCGCGAAGCAGCCTACAATGTAGGCGATAGCTGGTAGCACAGATGACAGAAACGATGCCGCGAGGAGCACCGAAGGCTGTGGTTGGGACGAGTACATCACCACGGCGAGTGTGACGGCGCCCAAGACAGTATTAACTTCAACGGTCTTGAAGGCACCGGTGGCTTCGGCTGTGGCTTGATCGGGCAACAGACCTAGATTAAGACAGTGCAGCGTGTAGTAGATGCACAGACACCCGAGGGCTCCCAAGGAAGCCCACAGGCCCACGTGGGGCAATGGTTTATCTTCTCGGCGCCTTCCATGAACAGCGCAAGCAGATTCTGTGGCACCATAGTCGACGTTTTCCGAGTAAGAAGACAGCATGGTGCTCTCTGTGGCTGATCTGCGAGGAGAATGCTTACAAGTTGCGAGACATCAAATAGTCGCATAGAATTCGGTACAGATGGACAAATATGGTGCTATTTTTTTTCACTTACACGCTTCTCGATATCCTCCTGCGTGCAGCCCAGCCGGTAATAAAAACGTCCAACTGCTGGAGGCAGAGGCCCACAGCAAACCCGATGCAGACAACTATTTCTGCCACTGGCTTCTCGTGAGTCCCGGTCTGGTTCAGCTCCCTGGACCCTGAGTACAGCATGTCGACGAAAGCCATGCCGAACAAGGCACCTCCGGAAAAAAGAAGGGCAGTACGATGGTATCTGTAAAACGCAAAAAATTTTCGATCCCTTGAAAGCTCCAGTATATTGCAAGAGAAATGCGAGAAATATATACAGGAGATGCAGGAGCTATACATATTCATCTCTCTTCGGTTCTGCGGTCATCGTGTAGTGCTCTTTGAAAAGGAAACAGGCGAAAATTCTGGGACTCTCAACGTGGTAAGTGTCTTCATGTTCTCATGCCACTGTTTTGTCCTATCTGCCAGTTAATATATGAAGAAGAAATGAAGTGAAAGAGTGACGACCAAAATAAAAAGGTTTGAAACATTAAAAAAAATGAAGTTTAGGCTACTGTACGGTAGCCTTGTTCACAGTAAAGTGGCCCAACGAAGTGGGCTTATGTTTGTTTTAGAACTCTGCCGAGACACCTGGAAAACGCTGGTGGCCGATCGCCATGGCTTCTGTTCAGCGATTTTTTCGTATTCTGGATACGAAGGAATTTCAGATATTGACGCGAATACCATTGTCTTTTCTTTGAGATTACTTGTGCATTGGCCCAGCCACTGTTCTGATTGGATGTAGCCACATGTTGCAAATAAGTTCTGCGAAAACCTGCAAGGTGGCGGAAGTATTAAGAAAGGGAAACAAGACAACCACCCGTATGTAGGATGAAGCCACAAGGAAATCCGTACGGATTTCTCAGGAAGAAAAGCCTCATAGTTGACAAAAAATTCGTCCTGGTCCGGGGTTCGAGCCCGGGACCAATGCCTTTTCGGGGCGGTCGCTCTGTCAATTGAGCTAACCAGGAAACTATAGTAATTGACAGCACTTTTCTTTCTTAGAAATACGTATGGATTTCCTTGTGGCTTCGTACTACAAACGGTTTGTTGTCTTCTATCGCTTTCTTAATCCTTCCGCCACCTTACGGGTTTTCGCAGAACTCATTTGCATTACTCGTGTCCATGTGCTTCGAGTGGTCTATGAATTCGCCCTCTCGCTGTCATTTTATAGTTTCCTGCTTATAGCTTGATTGGCAGAGCAAACGCCTCGGAAAAACGTTGGCCCCGGGTTTAAACCCCGAACCAGGACGAATTTTTCGGCAACTAAGAGGCTTTTCTTTCAGAGAAATTGTTTGAGAATTCCTTGTGGCTTTGTGCTACAGACGGGTGGTTGTCTTTTTTCCCTTTATTAGCCACGTATTCCGCGAGTGCGTTGGACGCCACGTTCGTCTTTCTGCCGTCATTCATGTGGTATTTCAGTCGTCTTTCAAATTACCACTCTCCCCGATAGTAGCATAATCGCAGTCAGCGCACGCAATTTCATGAACAATGGCTGGGAGCTTTCTTTTCTTGAGCGTTCTTTATATTCAGGGGTTCCTTGATTTGCGAGGGTAGAGATTTCGAGGCAGATGCATAATATTTCGCAAGGGTCCTTCAGGTGGACCAGCTCGTGGTTAAGTTAGCGGGCAGGAACACGCGTGATGCCCACATCGAACGTTCGCAGAACCTGTGCCAACGCTTCACCAATACCTGACACATGAGGAATGGCTGCGCAAGCTTGGCGCTGCACCGCGCGCTAGGTGGCATCAGTCGTACTCGCGGTTCTCTATGGAATGTACAAAAGAAACAGAGTACCCGTTGTCAGAAAGATTCATGCTTCTTCCTGATCAGACGATGTTTCGTCAAGCCGACCTTGCCAATATTGTGGTGAAAATACTCCGAGGAATATTTGCGCCAGAAGAAATATTGGAATTACGTGGCTGAGTAATAGAACTTCACAATGGCACTGAATCGGGCTAGTTTGTTATCTACGACCGTAAAATGACAGCGTAAAAAATGACAGACGAACACACAGAAATAAACAAGTGTTGGACAGTCTCGTTTGTCTATTGTTTTTTTGACGCTTTTATTTTACGGTAACGAGTAATAGAAGCAAGAGTAAAGACCAACACGTTTTTAACAAAGAACAAAATGCGGAGGAGTAAATGTGATTGAATCCAGTGGACGTAAACAAACGCTCGCCTAGCACAAGTCAGCGTTCGGGTCTTTCGGTGATGTAACGACGTGTGGCGTTTTCTGCAAATAGTTTGTCTTTATGTATGCATCAAATGGAGGCAGTACATACATATGATGTGTCAGAGCTGGCCGCAATAAGCAACATGCTACAGGGCAGTAGTATGGGTTTCGTTCCCTATTACATGATCCCGATAACTGGCAAGAAGATATTTTTTTTTACCCCTCACGAAAAAAAAAATCGCACACTTTAAAATTGCTTTGCAATATAGGTAGAAAGTTTATACAAACAGCGGAGCTGGGAGGCCGTCGTTTCTTCTGTTTATTATTGTCTCTCTTTTTCTTTCTTCGTCTCCTTCTTTGTCTTTCTCCCTGTGTTTTATATTTTTTGATCACCTATCATATCTATGTCTTTCTTTCTCTTTTTCTCTGCCTATTTTTTCTAGACGGGCTTGAATTGTGCCTGGTCAAAAATTATATATATATATATATATATATATATATATATATATATATATATATATATATATATATATATATATATATATATATAAAATAAAGAAACTACTTGGACCATGGCCTGAGATGCATCTTCAGAAAAAGGCAATAATCTTCCTGACAGACTTTTTAGTGGAGACCGGACTGGACAAGCGCCTATGACTGACAGCCAGAAATGAGTATTATGTAAAGGGTGGTCATGTATATACTGGCATTAGAGTAGTAAGGTGTGCGTGAAAGTAGTTTATGACTGTGTGAACTGCGTGAAGAAAACTGTGTATTGACAGGTTATTTGAACTGGTTTCAGTGTGCTATTATGTGTTTTTTTTTTCGTATTGTTAATTTTTGGGTACCGTTCTGTATTATTTTTTTATTTTTCGCTGCAGAACTCTGTGATATGGAGTAGCCGAGGCAATAGGCTCCTCAACCTCTCCACAGCAAAACAGTTAAAACAACAACAACAACAACAACAACAATATATATATATATATATATATATATATATATATATATATATATATATATATATATATATATATATATATATATATATATATATATATATATATATATATATATATATATATACCAAAAACAAAGTGATGCTGGGTCCGGGAAATATTATTCGTATAGGAAAGAAGACGCACGTACGAAGTTATTTTATTTGACGTTTCGGCCGTGGGTCCGGCCTTCATCATATATATATATATATATATATATATAGCCAGTTATTTCTTTATGAATTCGTTCTTAATCAGTTATCAGAATAGTGTGCCAGACAAATCGGTGCACGTGTTCTGTGAACAAAGCAGAAGATGAAGAAGAGGACGAACGAAGAGAGCACGTGACGTTTCATGCTTGATTGCGTAGTTCCTGTTTAGAGATTACGGACGCACGCTCTGCTAAGTTTGCTCTGCTGTTAAATGTCGCCTTTACACCTCAGTTGATGTAGCACAGCACACCGTAGATCCCTTACACGAGCCATTCTTGCCGAACGTCTGCGCGAATGTGGAGCCAGTAGACGAAGGGCCCGGCCAGCAGGTTACCTCCGAGCAGGAGCAATGCTCGAAGCGTCGATGTGGCATCCATGACTGCACGAACGCTGAAACCGAGATAACCAAGACGATCATGATCGAGTACGGATTACAAAGTCTCCGGAATCAACCTTGTCATAGTAATATCGCCTCTCGAAATGGCCCACTTTACTTTGATGTTGCCTTCAGGACTGACAGACTTTGCTCGACGAAAAAGTGATCGAATAAGCAGACCAAAACTAGTTTAGGAAGGCAAATAAAGGTTAGACGTGGTAAATAGATTATTCATTTGAGGTCAGACATTTGTTCTGGTAAGAACATCTTAGTGCCGTTTAAAGGTGTCAAGTGTTTGCAGAGGCCACTAACTCCGAGAAAACTGATTTTTTTTTTGTCGTGTTTTGTGACTTTGTTGAGTCGAACTGCAAAGTGAATTTTTAAGCGCGTTCAAGGAAAGGCGGGAAATATAAATTCAAGGCTTCTGGCTGAGAGAGCAGTAGCCTGCTATCTTTTAGGCTCGTTTTCTCGCGTCTCATAGTCTCTAAAATTTTGAAACTGACTGTACATGTCGTCATACAAATAGTCGAATCACATTGCTACTATCGCCAACTAAGCGAGCAGCACACTCCCTGACACGACCACTTTCGCATTCAGCACAGGTTTAGGCCAGTTAGCTGGTTTCACATTAAATTGTTGCAACTCTATGATGTGTTTCATTTATACGTGAAACTGATTCTTATGTAGTCCTATTATAGCATTGAAATTAATTTTATTAGTACTTTCATTATTAAGCTTGCATTGTGTAATTTCTACCATGCTGTATTAAATGATCGCTTTATAGTTCTTGTTATAGAAGTATCCCATTGCAGTCATGTGGCTTCCTTTAAACTCGGGCGTGCGTGCGCACACACACACACACACACACACACACACACACACACACACACACACACACACACACACACACACACACACACACACACACACACACACACACGCACACACACACACACACACACACACTATACTATACTATACTATACTATACTATACTATACTATACTATGGCATTGTTTAGTTCACTCTTCCTTGCCATAGCTCACTCACTGAGTAATCATACTGAAATGCTCGTATAGTTCAGTTAACCGCAATAAATCGCCTGAATTGCGACTAACTAGAAAGTACTATAACGACACTAGATTATACGTATCTGACTGCAACGCCATCGCATGCATATCCAAATCAAGATTGATATCTTGGGTCGGGATAGGCTTATAACGGGACTTACCGTGCCGTACCACCGAAATCGAGGTTTCTGCCTAAGAACGAGTTACGAGGATGAAACACGCTGGCTAGCTTTCCATAAAGAGTAGGGCACGGTCAAGCCTCTTCCAAGTTATCTGCCTCTTCCAAGACACTTGACATGCTTCTATCAGTTATTGATTCTTGACGTCGTTCGGTTGAAGTGAGCAAGTAGAAGAGCTCAAGGCGCATC